TTTTTTTTTTTTTTTTTTTTTTTTTGTGGTACCGGGGATCGAACTCAGGTCCTTGTGCTTGCAAGGCAGGCCACCGAACCGCTGAGCTAAATCCCCAGCCCATGATCTTTTTTTTTGATGGGTCTAGGATGTGCAGACTACAACTGTTTTAAGGATCCAGGGGTGGGAGACAAAGCTCCATCTCCCCTCCCCTTAACTTTCTATAAATTTAAATGTAATCCACACCCTTCCACCACCCACACACTCAGGTCCTTGTGCTTGCAAGGCAGGCCACCGAACCGCTGAGCTAAATCCCCAGCCCATGATCTTTTTTTTTGATGGGTCTAGGATGTGCAGACTACAACTGTTTTAAGGATCCAGGGGTGGGAGACAAAGCTCCATCTCCCCTCCCCTTAACTTTCTATAAATTTAAATGTAATCCACACCCTTCCACCACCCACACGGCCCCACCCCCAGGCCCTAAATTCCCCCAGGCAGAGGCAGGCAGGCTCCAGCAGGCTCCCGGATTCTAGGCACAGGGGACCAGGTGGAGCCCCACATCCTTCCTCTCCCAACTATGCCTCAGCACCAGGCCCTCAACCTGACCCAGCAGGGAAAAAATAAATTAATAAATTAAATTAAATGAAGTGACACCCCAGGAACATGCAATTGAAAAACGGGGACAACTACTCCCTCTGTCATTGTCCCTTCAGGAAGGATCTTCCCACCAGGACACCCACCTGGAGCCTGTGGACCTCTCACTTAGGTTGTCCTGGGGGATCCCCAGGAATCAGCGCACTGCTACCCTCCACCCCCACAAGCTGCAGCAGGAGAGGAGGAAGGCTGACGTCATTCTTTCACCTACTGCGCTTCACCCCACACGGAAGCTCCACAGCCCCACTCCTGTTTGGAGGTGAGCAGAAAAGAAGCAAGGGGGTTCCCCTAAAGGTAACTGCTCCAAAGTCCACTGGCGGCACTGAGGGAAGAATTCAGCCCGTACCTGCCCATGGGAAGTCCTCCATCTGGGACAGGGACTGTGCAGTCTCTCTCCAGCTGCCTCCTTGCACCTTGCACGTGTCCTGGATATCCCAAAGGCCTCAAAATCAGGGCAGCCAAAGGGCCTTTGCCCTTCCCTGGAACAATCCCCCAAGAATCCGCTCCCAGAATCTCCTCTGAAAGGGAGCCAGAAGAAAGCAACAGAGAGCAGCCACAACTTTTCTAGACAAACAGGGTGATAGACACCATGAACTTCCACTGAGATCTAATCAGGATCCTTGCATGCTCTGCGGGGCAGCTCGGCTTGCCCCACTGCCACACCACACCACTCACCCAAGGTCCCCACAGAAGCCCAGATGTCGCTCCAGCTTCCAGCCCTGCGGGTGCTCAGGGGAGAGATGGCCCTCAGGGGGTTCTGGCCCCCTCACCTGTGCCCCCAGCTCATCCCTCCCTCTGATCCCTCCCATTCCTCCCCGAGGCTCAGAGCCCTGGCACCAAGAACCAAGCACCCAGCACAGAGCAGGCCCCCTGGGAGGCGACTGTGTCCAGTGTGCGCAGCACGTCCAGCAGTATGGTCAGGTTTCTGGGCCCCCCAAGCCAGCCCAGTGGGCTCAAATTCATTTTCCCTGAGCAATTTGTTTTCCCACCACCTCAGAGCAGCAGGAGACGGAAAAGGATCACGGCCACAACACAGAACCCTCACCTGAATTCCAGGAGGAAGCCTGCATGGAGGGAAGGAAGGGAAGCCCCTGGCACCTGTCCTCAGAGGGAGGACCAGTCATCCACACACACCCCAACACTCACCCATGTCATTTCTCAAACCTGGACCGAGTCCTCAGAACCTCCTCTTCTACAAATTTAGCCAAACCACTTCATTGAAAGGGCCTCAGCCATTTCCAATCCCTCCCAACATACACAAAGTCTGAATAACGCCCCCACCGGGGATATCTACATCCTCATTCTCAGAACCTATGGCACCTTATATCACAAGGGACTGTGTAAATGTAGTTAAATGAAGGGCCGCCCCCACCCTGAAGTACTGGGGGTTGAACCCAGGGCCTACACAGTGAGATAGATAGATATAGATAGATAGATAGATAGACAGACAGACAGACAGACAGACAGAGATCGATCCCCAGCCCTTTTTTTTTTTTGAGACAGAGTCTTATTAAATTGCCCAGGCTGGCTGGGCTTGAATTTTTGATCATCCTGCCTCAGTTTCCCAGAGTGCTGAAATTACAGGCATGAGACACCATACTTGCCTCTGATTAAGGATGGGCAATTACCCTAGATCATCGAGGTGGGCCCAAAGTAACTAAGGGGACCCCGGCGGGAGTCAGCATCAGACAGTTTATGACAAATGCGGGCAGACAGAGCGGTTAGAAGGTGCCATGCTGCCTTTGGCAGTGAAGGAAAGGGGCCACAAGCCAAAGGGCAGGGAAACAGATTCCACCCAGAGTCCCCAGAGAGCCCTGTGGACACAGCCTAACTTCTGGCCTCCAGAACTTTACAGTAATAAATACTTGTCATGTTAAGCCACTAAGCTGGTGGAATTTGTTTCAGCAGTAAGCAACTCGTACACGCTCCTCTTTGAACTCGAATGACCCTGGACATCACTTGAAGCACCGGCCCATGAGGTCCAGACATGCAAGCATTTCTCTTGGACCAGCTGGTGAAGCGCAGCAGTCTGCCTCCATCGCAGAGGACAAGGCATCCCTAAGTGCCCGGTCAGGGCCCGCTGGGAGGATTGCAGGACCACACCTGGACCGCCTCTCGCCACTCCCGTAGTCGGGAGAAAGGTAAACAGGGAGGAGGGGTCAGGACTGAAGCAGTTCCTTCCAGAGTAAAGAGCATCCGCGTTAGTCACTGCCTGCAAGTCTCCGGCGAGCCCACAAGTGCCCAGGCAGGCCCAGTTGACTGCTCCTTCACCCCAGCAGTCCCGGTCCCGGCCAAGGGGCTGGAGCAGACCTGTCACATACTTAGTGATCAATCACACAAGACTGGGAAGCGCCAAGTTTGGACAAGGAACAACAATGACAAACATCCCAGGGAAAGCTGCCTACCGGAAGTCTCATGAGCAGCGACTGAAGCCAAAGGAGGGCAGCCACTGCTGATTACAAGAGCAACGGCTGCTGCTCACAGACGGGGCAGGCCAGAGCAGCTTCCAGCACAACCGGTCATCGCAATAAGCGATACAAGGCCAAAAAGACAAGTCTGTCAGAGAAAGCTATAAAGACAGTGTTGTTACACGTTACCCTTGGAAATGACAGACGGGTCCAGAGTTCCAGAGGCCTACCTCTCTCACCTGTGGGTCAGCAAGGCTCACAGAGAGGCGGGTATGCAGGTCAGTGGTTTAGTGCTTACCTAGCAAGCATGAGACCCAGGATTTGAACCCCAGCACCCCTAAAAATACAAATAAATAAAAGGTTCACAGGCCCAGTGCCACTTATTAGTGAAAGTCTGAGCCCCAGCCCTGCAAATACCCCTCTTATAGGCCCCATCCCTATTTGGGGTGCTACTTGTGTGAGGGCTCTAGGAAGGAAGAGGAGTTGCAAAAAGGAGCAGAAGAGGCCGGGCATGGTAGTGCACGCCTGTAATCCCAGCACTCAGGAGGCTGAGGCAGGAAGATGGCTGGGAGTTCAAGACCAGCCTGGGCTACATAGTGAGTTCCAGGTCAGTCTCAACTACATAGTGAGACCCTGTCTCAAAAAAAATAAAATTTTTTTTAAAAAAATTAAGTAGCAGAAGAGTCACATGTGCAGAGCTACAGCATCTACTGCTGCGTTGTGCAAGGCACTAGAGAATCCCCAGGGAAAGGAAGGGCTCCATTAATTAGATTGTGCTGAGCTCCAGGCAGAGGAGAGGAGAAAAACGCAAGCACACACAAGGATCTACAGGGGCTAGAGGCACTCAGTTCATCCACAAGCTTTGGAGTCAGGCAGATGTAGTTTAAATCCAGGTCCTCTACTTTCCTGTCTCAAGTCACTTGACCTCAGTAGGCTGCAAGTTCCTCGCAGCAAAATGTAACAGTGCCACCCTCTCTGGATTATCTTCAGAATGACGATGATACAAATAATAACCAGTACATCTGACCCAGGGTAAGAATGCTTGTGGTGATGTTGGTGACAACAGGTAGATCTCTTATCTATGCCATTAGCTCCAGGACAAGACTGGAGCTATTTATGACTGGTAGTTATTTTTTTTTACCCATATCTTAAATTAATATAAAGGTACAAGTTAAACTTGGTGAATCAGCAAAATCTAATTCCCCACCACCAACCCAGTGTTTCCCATTCCTCTACAGCCCCAACATTGGTCAGACTATCCTCGTATAAAGGGGCAAATACAAAGAAATTTAGTTAGAAAGGAAAGAGCCTGATACCTGTATTCCACAAATGAGTCAGAGTCCCACTGCCACAGAAGACGGCACATTTCTCCACGTTCCTCAGGAGAGACAGCTGCACCTCTAGGAGATTGGGCAAAACAGAGCCCTGAACCATAGGCCTTGAGCGCAGAGTTACGGCATTGTGTGGAGCAAAAGCACAAAGGAAAGACCAAAAATATACCCTTGACACTGGCCTTGGGTTGTAAATCCAGCTTCAGGGTGGACATCTGGGACAGCCAGGACATGACACAGAGCAGCAAGAAATTAGGAAGGGCCTAGGCCTGGCGTTCAGCCATTTCCTAAGTCCCAAGGAATATCAATTGGGGAAAAATGAGAAGAGTGTATAAGCGAGCTGGGACTATAGCCAGCACTCCTCAAAGTGTGCGGAGCTCTGCTCCTAAGGCCTGAATACAGTGCAGGTGGGCAAGCTCCGTAAGCCTCAATGGCTGTTTTCATTTTGGGACAACCCTAGTGGCCCTTCCTACCAATTGTGAGCTCCAGAGTTCAGTCTCTCAACAACAAGTATTTATCAAGTAGCTGCTCTGCACAGAGACACTGTGCTGGCCTTGTTGCAGAGACAATGATGAATCACACAGCCCCTACTCACAAGAGCGCAGATTCTGCTAGGAGTAACAAGACTAATCCATAGCAAAAGGAGGTAGAAAAATAGTATCCATCATGGGTTGGAGGAGGACTCAGAGAAAGAGCTCTGAGCTCCAGCCCCAACACCTCAAAACCAAACCAAAACAAAAAAAACACAGCAAGCAGAGAGCAGTGTGTCACAGAGGCCTGGGAGTTCCCCGGCTACTTTCAGTTGGGAATTCTTTCAACACGTGTGAGCATAACGCTAGGCCCTGGGGACACCTGAAATGAATGACACATTGTCTCTGTCTTTGAGGAACTTGAGCTCAAGAAGAAAAACAACAAATAAACAGATAACCCACAAAACAAGTGTGCTGGTACAGAAGTGTGAATAAGTTAAAGTGCTGACAAGCAGTAGTACCCTGCAGCTAGAAGATGGGGAAGCCAGGAGGAGGTGGCATTTTAGCCGAGTCACGAATGATGGGTAAGAAGAGATCTGAGCACCTGATGCCAAGGGCGCAGCACACGGAAATCGTAGCCCCGGGATCTCCCAAGACCCTGCACATCCAGCACAGGAGGCCTGGTTGGCAGTTAGGCTGTGGACAGACAAGTAAGTCACCATCCAGCTTTGCTTGAAAGGACAAACAACTACCAAGACAGGTGGAAACAGGGGACCACAAGACCAAGCACAAGAATGTATCCTGGACAGGCACAAACTGAGACGTGGGGCTGTGGCTACAGGTCCCTCCCCAGAGCCAAGCAGTGTTGGAGAGGAATGCAGAGGTCTGAGAGCTGCTGACGGTTCACAGAACATTTGCAGGAGAAAGAGAGCCTCAGGGAACGTGGGTTAGAGAAAGGAAGGAGACTTACTCCAACCTGCACGAGGAGGGGAGAAATGTGGCCCAAAATAAGAGTAAGAACCTGAATATATGCATATGTTAGATGCTTCTAAAAGCCGAAGGCACAACCTGCTCTGTGAAACCAAGATTCCAGGTCTCAACTGGGTTTTAGCCGGAACTCTGCCTCCAGGATTCCAGACCAGCAGCTCTCACCTGGGCTGCTGGGGAGCCGCGTCTCACCATGTGAGGGTTTTTCCTTTCCCCACACATATCCGAACGGGTGTGCTGCCATTTGGGACAGCTCCCTTCCCATTTCCACCCAGGAGCCTCCAGACCTGGTAAAGAACTTACAGCTGAGCAGCCCCCTTCCATGAGCTACAGCGCCTGACTGAACACACTGGCCTTCCCCACCCCTGGGTCTCTTCACAGATACCACAAGGGGAAGAGCAAAAAAGCCTCTCACAAAACCCTCTCCTTTGCCCTGGGCTCTGAGCGGGGGCTAACACAGAGAAATCAGGGGAGCTGACCAGTCAGTGCCCCTGGTGGTCCACATCCTGTGGGGGAAGGGTCACAGCACTTCACCCCCACCCCCACCCCGCCACACCCCTCTGCTTCCCAGGAGCCTCCACTAGGGAGGCTCAAGAAACTCATCCAACCAGTTCCCGGTGGAGGAGAGGAGCTTTCTCTCCCAAGCTGAATTCAGACAGGTGCAGCAGCTGCCACCAAACCCCAGATTCTGGAGTGTACACAGCATGAAAATCACAGCAGGGCACCACAGTCTGCTCCTGGAAAAGTGAGGCTTCGACCTGGGTAGGGGGGGTGAACAAAAGAGCCCAGGTCAGGACAATCTGCCCCTTGACCTCCCTGCACCTGCTGCTCAGAGCTACAGAGATGGTGGGTGCTGCTGGACCTGTCTGGCTACACGTCCATGAGGGTACGTGACCTGCTCTACCAGCTGCCACTAGATTTGATCCAAAACAACCACCCCCTGTGGATTGTGGGAAGAGGAAACTTCAGGAAGAAATGAGACATTAACTCTTGCTTCTCCCAAGGTGTGCCTGTGAATGAACACCAGTGAGCTGGGTCTCACCAGGACTGTCTGTCCCCAAGCACCTCAATCGGAAGACTTAGGATGGAAAGACCCTCTACAGTCCTCTAGAAAACGTTCACAGCCACCTCTAAGAGGAGCAGAAGGCTGGCAGCTATCATGCAGCTGGGTGGGAATGGCCCAAGATAGGAGAAGAGGAGCCTCTCTCCTACACCTGCACCAGTAAAGGCTCTCAGTTTCTGAACCCTCGGGGGGGAAACCTGCCTTTTGCCCCAGATCTGTAGCTGGCAAGCCTAGAGGCCTGGGCTGACAGAGTCCCAAGGACACCCCACTTGTGACCGCTGGCCTGGCCCCAGGGATACCTACCGCTTTCCTCAAAAGGGCTCCCATCTAAGCACCTGGAGGGTGGTGATGAGGGGCCAGGGCGCTGCATCCTCCTGGGACAGCCAACCGGCAGCCCAGCAGTTAACAGGCCAGCCTGGGGAGCAGTGAGCTGCCTCCGACAGCCTCGGGAATTAAAGCGCCCGCGCCTCCAGCGAGCTCTCTTCAATAAGCGTCCTATTCAGAACCAGTTCCGCGTGTGGGTAATACTTTCTGCATTGCTCTCATTCCTGATTGCTGCTGCGGGCCCAGCAGGGAAACGCAGTGTCTCACCACACAGAGCTGGTGAGAAGGACCCAGGCCACAATCCCAGGAGTTTCACACAGCCAAGCGCTAGCAAATATCCCCAGCCACGAAGCAAGAAGTACGCGGGATGCCACTAAGTGCAGGAAGTCAAACACTGAAGACTGCACACAAAGCCAGATCAGTCCCGGCACAACAATACTCCGTTTATACGGCACCTCCCCCACAGGCCCTCAGAGCCCGAGGGCATTAACCCTTGAGTCCTTCCCCACAGCAAGGGCCGAGGGGCGGGGCAAGTGGCCACCGGTACCATTCAACCGAGGCACAAGTGGCCCGGCAGACTAGGGTCATCTCAGCCAACTTATTAGGGTTATCAGTCACTGTGCTGACACATTCTCTGCATAAGCTCTAGACAACCACTTACCCAGGGCCAGGCAGCCTGAAAAGCTGAAGCCGGATTTGCCAGAACCCAGGGTCTCTCTGGGCTTCACCCCTGGCAACCCATGGGGCCCAAGAGGTGGAGCCAAAAAACGAAAAGGTGCCATCCCCGGCCCCCCTCATGGGAACGCCCTGAAGCACTTTCTGCCCTTTTACAAGTTCACGCTTTGCTCAGAACAAGTTCTTACCGTGCAGGGCAATCTCAGGAGGAGGCCAGAATGGAGACACCTGGGAATTCGTGGCTCACCTGTAGAGGCCTCTGGGGAGGCCAGAGCTAATACGGCCACCCCTTCTCCACCCGCGCACTGGGCTGGGGGGGGTCTGCACCGTGACTCAGTGAGAGCCAAGGATGCTGCACCATTTTCTGTGAATGCTGTCACTTTAACTCACAACCTCGGGGAGATAAGGCCCAGGGTTCCTCCAGCTCAAATCCCTACTATCGGTCCCGCAGCTGCAGCTGTGTAAACAAGTGCCAGAAGACTGAAGCAGAGGGGTGCAGGGTATTTTAAGGGTGCTTCTGAGGGGAGAAAAAGGCACCCCCTGTGGAGGCAGAGTTCACCTCTGCAACTTGCTCAGACCCAGAACAGAACTGCAGATCCTGGTCTGGGATGACTTTCTATCTGAAAGGACTGGTCAAACTCACTCACTGTCACTTGTCTGTTGGTTTGTTTACTGTGGGTATTGAGGGTTGAACTCAGGGCTTTCACTCTAAGCTATATCCCCAGTCCTTTTTTAAAAATTTTGAGCCAGGGTCTTGCTAAGTTGCCCAGGCGGGGCTCGAATGTGCCATCCTCCAGCCTCAGCCCCGAGCGCTGGGGTCACAGGTGTGCACCAGCACACCCAGCTCCTATTTACTGACGTCATAAACCGTGCCAGGTGCTAGCAAACGCAGCACTAAACAAGAAGAATCCTTTATTTTTTAAATATTTATTTATTTATTTTTGTGGTACTGGGAATTGAACCTAGGGCCTCCCCCGTCACCAGCCTCTCCTTGCCTTTTTTTTTTTTTTTTTTTTTTTTTTTTTTTTTTTTTTTTTTTTTTTTGAGTTTGTTTTCTTTTTTTTTTTTCATTTTTTTTTTTTTTTTTTTTTTTTTTTTTTTTTTTTTTTTTTTTTTTTTTTTTTTTAACTTTTGGAGATAGGTTCTCACTGAGTTTATCCAAGCTGGGTTCCACCTTGGATCCTCCTGCCTCAGTCTCCCACTGTGCTGGGATTATAGCTGTGTGCCATCATGCCTGGCAACGTTTTGAATTTTGGCAAACTCTTGTGGGTTTTACAGATGCTCTTCAAAATGTTGAAGGCGTTCCCCTCTAGTTTTAGTTTCTTCAGTGATGTTATGACTTTGTTAAATGTTTTTTCTCGATCTACTGAGGCGACTGGTGGCCTTTTTAAAAATACCAGGGATCAAATGCAAAAGTGCTTTGCCACTGAGCTACATCCTCCAACCTTTTTTTTTGGTACTAGGAATCGAACTCGGGACCTCACACATGCAAAGCAGGCAGTGGCACCACTGAGCTAAATCCCTACCCCCCTTATTTTTTATTTTGAGACAGTCTTGCCAAATTGCCCAGGCTGGACAAAAAAAAAAAAGGCAGGGGGGAGGCTGGGGACGAGAAGGCCCTAGGTTCAATTTCTAGTAGCACAAAAATAAATTAATTAATTACTATTTTAAAAATAAAAGCTTTTTGCTGGGGGTGTAGCTTAGCGGTAGAGCAGTTGTCTAGAATGTTTGAGGGCCTGGGTTTGATCCCCAAAACTGGGAGGCAAAGGACTGAAGAAACACAAACAGAGAGAAAATATGTGTAAATCATATCCTCCCCCACTGCTCCGATGAAAGCGTGAGTGGGAACACTGTAAGTCATCTATTTACAATGGACTTATATGCAGAACACATAAAGAACCCTTATAAGCCAACAATAAAAAAAGACAAAATAGCTTAACTTAAAAGGGGACAGAGGATCTGAACAGAAATTTCTCCAGAGAAGGTACAGAAATGGTCAATAAGTACATGAAGAGATTCTCACTGCCATTAGGCAAACCAAAAACCATAACCAACACACTAGGATGGCTAAAATCCAGATGATGGATGCTAACAAGTGTCGGTGAGGATTTGGAACAACCAGAACACTCGTACACAGCTAGTGGGAAGGGACCATGGTGTGATCGATTTGGAACAATTCAGCACTTCTCAGTCTGTTTAAATACAGTTACCATAGGACCCAGCAACATTCTGAGGTATAGATACACCCAAGAGAACTGAAAACATACATCCACGCAAAAACATGTACACAAATGTTCCCGGCAGCATTATTTGTAAAAGCTAAAAAGTAAGAAAAAACCCAATGTCCACTGGCTTATAATAAGCTGATGAGTTTCCTACTGACATTCCAGGGACCAAAGGGAACTCCAAATTAGTCAGACACATTCCCTCTGGTGACTGTCGTGGCCGTGACACTAATGACTGCTGTGCTGCGTGATGCAGCAGTGACTGATGCAGCTCTCCCACTGGTATCCTGTAATAAATCTCACCCTCAGTCTCAGGCTTCTAATACCTGACTGCAATAGAAATCATGCAGCAGAAGACTTTTTTTTTTTTTAGTACCAGGGATCAAACTCGGAACCTTGTGCTTGCAAGGCAGGTGGCGGAACCCCTGAGCTAAATCCCCGACCCCTGAAGCATATTTTGATCCTACAGAATAAATCAATTCGGTAAGAGAAAGTCAGGCTAAAGAACAATAGGAACAGATCCTTGCATCTGTACCAGGTACAGTGCAGAAGGAGCTCCTATTATTCCAATTTCTGCCCAGCTGAAATACAATACTGAAGTTGTCTGTGAACATACAGTATTGAAAATACCAGTACCTCCTAGAGACTTTACTCCAGAACCTCAAGTTATTGTTATTAGGCTGCTTGATGCCAACAAACCTGGCCGTGAAATCGATGAAATTTGCCTTGGGGGATGGTGGTCATAGTCTACAGGGAGTACTGAAAGTGGCCAGGGAACAAAAGTCAGACCTGGCTTTGTCTCCAAAGACAGTGAAGGAAACCAAAACTGTATCACTTTTTGCAGACAAGAAAATCGTCAGTGAGCTGCTCCTGGGGTCCTAAGGAAGTTGGAATGAATATCGGCCCCACTTTGTGCCAAGCTGGTTGGAATGGTGGGGCAGGTACACGGTACAGGTGGAGCATTACCTGAGATACTCCTGGAGTTACAATTTCCTGTTTTCTACTTAGATGCCTTCTAGGTGCAGGCACTGAAGGTGACAAGAAAGCAGCAAAGGTCCAAAAGCTGTCTGAGAAGTGCGTGTTTATGGCCAACATAGGATCTTCGTCAAAAGATAGTGATCTCAAGACTGATGTGGGCAGGATCGTTCTGCCTAATCCCGTGTGCACAGAAGTGGGACAAAAAACTGTCCCTTGCCAGGCATGGTGGTACACGCCTGTAATCCCAGCACTCCGGAGGCTGAGGCAGGAGGATCGCTGTGAGTTCGAGACCATCCTGGGCTACATAGTGAGACCCTGTCTCAAAACACACAAACAAACTAAAAACTGCCCCTCATCAAAGAGTTGAGAAGCACTGGCGTTTCATTGGTTGTGGGTAAGACAAGAAGAGGAGGGATGAGCCAACAGTGGTGATGACTGAAGAACCCAGGTAAAATAAAACATCTGGCTGCAGCTGAAATTTCTCTTCACAACCTAAGGGTATATTTTCAAAGCAGTACTAGGGAATTCATTTCACAGCTGTTTACCTTAGTAGGTAACTAGCTGTAAGGTTACTCTCTTTTTTTTTGTACTAAAAAATTTAACCTCTAGTACTAATATAAGGTCTACAATAATGTAAAGGTTGGTACAATGTTATCACAAACAAACTAAAAACTGCCCCTCATCAAAGAGTTGAGAAGCACTGGCGTTTCATTGGTTGTTCGTAAGACAAGAAGAGGAGGGATGAGCCAACAGTGGTGATGACTGAAGAACCCAGGTAAAATAACACATATGGCTGCAGCTGAAATTTCTCTTCACAACCTAAGGGTATATTTTCAAAACAGTACTAGGGAATTAATTTCACAGCTCTTTACCTTAGTAGGTAACTAGCTGTAAGGTTACTCTCTTTTTTTTTGGTACTAAAAAATTTAAGCTCTAGTACTAATATAAGGTCTACAATAATGTAAAGGTTGGTACAATGTTGGATTAAATCAACATTTTAGCAGAAGTTAAGCATTCCCAAATCATTCCCAAATTTACACATCAATACAGGTTTGGAATGAAACTGCTACAACCAGCCTTCTCCGTAGCACAGGTACCACTGAATCTGTCTGAAATAAAGTTTTTCTTCTTAAAAAGGAGGAAGAGGAAGAGGAGAAAAAGGAAGAAGAGAAAGGGAACAAAGTACTTTCTACAACATGCTACAGGACTGACGAAGTTTTAAGTGAAAGAAGCAATCACAACAAACCATATAATGATTCCATTTATATGAAATGTCCAGAATGGGTAATAGAAAGAGGATTTAGCTCAGTGGTGCCACCGCCTACCTCACAAGCGCAAGGTCCTGAGTCTGATCCCTGGTACCAAAAAAGGGGCGGTCCCATGTTCGATCCCCAGTACCAAAAGAGAAAAAAAAATAAAGAGAGAGGAAGTGCACTAGTGGTTCCTCAGGCTGGAAGATGGGGAAATGGGAAACAATTGCTTTCTTTGGGGAGTGACGCAAATGTCACTGAATCAGACAACAGTGATGGCTGCACCCTAAAAACCAA